TTAGCCGGATCCGTTGAAATCCAGCTATTATTGAAATTATAGTATAATATTTGGATTAAATTAGAAGGGTATGAAATGAGTTGGAAACTTTTTTAGTCTTTTAGTCTGAGGTGCCAATGTAGCATAGTTTCTTAGCCGTCTTTCCTCTTACGTATTACACTGTGTTTAGTGGAAAACGGATTGTTATAAACTCACCCATCCCTATTGTACTATGAGTGTACAACTACAATACTTTATGATGAGATTTTCACTCTTCAAAGGGATTGTGGGTTACCGTACTCTATCTAAAATTGACAATGTTAGAAGTGTAATAAACTCCAGCTAGCTGTGTGAATCCTTTGCCTACCAACTTAGATTTGAACCTTTCCACACTTCCATCTGCCTTATGTTTGATTTTGTACACCTATTTGCATACAACAACATTTTTGCATGTTGGTAGAGGAACCAGCTCCCATGTATCATTTGCATGTAGTGCTTCGAACTCTTGTGTCATTGCCATTTGCCAGGCAAGATTTTGCTTCCTCATAACAAGAAGGTTCTGATTTATGTGAGAGTACCTTTACCAACTGTTGACTATTCCTTTGAGTTGTAATGTTAAACAATGGACATATATTAAATTGAATTTGAAACTAGGTACAAGTAACACTTCATGTAAAGTCAAGACTGGATTCAAACAGACATCTCCAATTTCATTTACTTTAACCTTGTATCCATTTGGTAAGGTGATTAGAAAAGGATATGGCAGTGGTCTAGTGTTTTTAGGACAATTTTATCATAGGTCATATGGTGTGATACTACTTGAGTCTATGGTCTAAGATCCAGCAGTCAATACATGACAAGTTACCTATCTCAGTCGTTAAAGAATAACAAGCAAGTATACGTGTCAGGTTCACAGCTCCACTAGACATGCCTGAATTGCCATTGTCTTTGTTTCCAGCCTGCAGGGTCCCCAAGAGGTTGAAAAGCTGCTCATACAGACCTTTAGATAGATTCAGTGGCATTTGTCTCCTCAGCTCAAGATTTTCCTCACCACACTGACTGTTTCCTTCTTCAGTGTAAGCATTTGCTGCAGAGGCTGAACCCTTTCCTTTGAGAAATCTGGAGTTGGATGTGTAGACATGAAGTTTATAACATATGTCTTTGGTGTGTCCAGATCTTTTTCAATAGTCACAAAACAAGTGTGACTTGTTTTGTGCATTGGAATTACCAGTACTAGAACTACCTCTGAAGTAATTGTTGTTGGAATTTCCACTATTATCTGGACCTCCTCTGTATGAACTGTAGTTTGTCTCGAAATCTCTATTGGTGTGGGGTGATGCAAATGCACTCAGGGAGGTGGACTCCAAAGCAACCTAGTTATGGGCCCTCACTTCTGGTTGCCTCACCTCTTGGGATAGGATAGCAAAAGCTTGTGCCATACTCGGAAAAATTGTCATCATCGATATATTTCCCCTCATAGTGTACATCTCATTCAATCCCATTAGGAAGTGTATGAGCCTCCTATCTTGTTCAGTCTTGCACATCTTTATTATTCCATCACACGTACATACACAAGTGCATTGAGAAGTAATGTCGATTGTGTTCATCTCCTCCCAGAAGTTCTTCATTTTTGTGTAATATCCAGTGATATCTAGAGTTCCTTGCACCAGATCATTTATTTCCTTTTGAAGTTGGTACAATTTGCAACCATTGGTCTGGTCGTATCGATCCTCTAACTCCTCCTAAAGTTCCCTAGGATTGCTCACATGTTGGAGTCTATCTCTTCAGTTAGGTGAAAGTTAATTTAGAATCCAAGAGGTCACCATGTCATCACATCTCTCCCACCATGTCATCACATCTCTCCCAATGTGCAAAACTTGAATCAGCTGAGTATGGCTTCACAATCTTCCCGTTAATAAAACCATTTTGCTTTTCACTGACAAGCTCTAAGAACTGCTCGTCTCCAAATATGTACCTATTTCCATAAAAAAAAATAGTACGTAACAATGTTGAACATGCATTCTCTGATGGATGTAGGTAAAATGGACTAGTAGTGTCCATTCTGATAGTGGTTGTGCTGTTATCAGGTTAAACATTTGTCATATTTGAATAATTTTCAATACAAATGAAATCAATTGAAGAAGAAAAAATGTGATAATGATTGATCGCACAAAGTGAATGGAGATTCAAAATGTTGAAAACAAGGCAACAGTAACTCAAAATGAACTGAATCAAATCTAAATGAAGAAAACAGAGAAAATCCACAATATCTCAATTTTGTGATTACCAAAAAAACTGAGATCGATACAATACTCACAATCCAAAATCAAATGTGAAATGAAATTGCCAATCCCTATGCGTTGATACCATGACAAAATTGGAAACAAGAGTGCTGGAATAAGCTTGAGTTCTCCATTAATGGAGCTCGAACTCAGAGAGAAAAAGAAGTAGAAGAAACTTCTAGAAGGAAGAACTGGAAGCTGAGTATTGCATTTTACTAACTGAATCAATACGCATTACATTGTTGTGTATATATACACAAAAGGAAATTAGCTAATTAAAAATAGTCTTGACATTTCTAACAAACTTAACCAACTTCCTAATTCTAACTACTTTTAACTACCCTGACTTTACTCACTAATTCTATCAAAATTAAAGAGCTCAATAATGTAGAGGTTCAACTTTTGGGTTTTGTGGGGAAGTTTCTTTCATATTTATGCATATTTTGCTCAAACAAAGTGGATATATGGTGGATGACACCGATAAGAAAAGGATATCATACGTATAATTTAACATAAAAAACTAGCTTGAAAGTCAAAGATTTCCAAATCATATACATAATGATATAAATTGTCATGTCACCTACCTACTGATGTATACTGTTAACGTCTCAGTATGTGTAGGTCTGACAATTAAAATGTGTATAAAATAATATAGGAGCTCAACATCGAGTGAGAAAAGAATTGAATTAAGTATACTCTAATCAAGATCGGAAAAAAAATAGATGACTATATTGTCTTGCATAATCCTCATTAAAGTGAAACTCAACACATTTGGTGATGCAACATAATTTGGGGTAACACTGACCAACAGAGAGAAGTGACTTTGGTCTCTTGGGAGAAAATCTAATTGCTAAAGAATTTGGTGATTTTAAAGTTTGATGTGGTAGAAAGTGAACTGTTGCAATTTGTGGGAAAATTAGTGTGTGACAATTTGTTGAGAAAAAATGTGTGTTTTGGATGAAATTGATAAATGGAGTTTATATGAAGGTAAACACATACATTTGGGACCATTAGACTCCCAAATAATTGTAGTTGGTATTGAAGAAAATGAAATTCTACAAAGATAAAAGATGATGAAATGGTATATCAATTGAACTATTGAAGAGTTAAGTTACTCTTTGACTTCAAATGGCACATAATTAATCACCAGAAACTTCAAAAGGGTATCTCACAACAGACACTACACTGACTTGCAAGCAGACATATACTAGAAGTGTTTAGAAAGGAGTTGACAACAAAAATCTAAGAATCACAGCTATACCACACATGAATTGGAATATATTCAAGGAGATTCATGAACAAATAGAAGTACTGATAGCACAAATACAAACTGAGGTAGGAGTTTGAATAAAACAACTGAAGTGCACAAAAAGAGCTCATAAATACAGTTGTAGATAAGAGTGTTCAGGGGTTGGTTATAGGTTTTGATTTGATTGTTCAGTTATTAATCATGAAAATAAAATCAAAAGACAAGGTATGGAATAGAAAAGCAAATAAGCATCTGTCAACTTCACTTGTCGTAATGTACTTTTTCCTTTCAAATTGAATTTTCACTAACAGAGAAGAAAATTAAATGAAAACTAGAAGAGCAAACAACTAAATCATGCCCCCAAATTGATTCCATTAAATCCCCCAATATAATTCTTCTATCCCTCAAATTATTATCTGCACCGCCTTTTTTTCACCATAAAATTGGCTAGTGATATTATTTGATCTAGGCGTAGACTCGCAAGGCTTTAAAATACGTCACTAGAATGTCAGGTCTGGTTACTTATAAACTCCCTCATATAAAAGATATGTATATAATTCTACATTGTCTTTTTCCCACCAAATAATGACCTAACCCGCAAATGATATTGTCTGCTTTGAGCCTAAACCCGCACGACTTTGCCGGTGTGGACTTCTTATCCACACAAACACCCTCTTTTATGGATTCAACGTACTCGCTGAGGTTTGTCCAACCATATAAAATTTGCCTAAGAATTGCCCATCACATGAGATTTACCTAAATCTAGCAAAGATGTTTGCTCCACCTTATCAGGATTCATGTAAACTCAATTGAACTTCAGCTCGCATCGACACTGTTGACACATAAATGACTCTAATACCATCTATAACAATCTAATCCACTAGTGGTATTGTTCTATTTGAGCCTAGAATCACACAACTTCAAAACACATTATTAAAGTATAAGATCACCTTACTTATATACTTAACATCCATCTTGTGTTCTGACGATGTGATACTTCTTATCCTATGTTTGGGGTAACACATACAACCTCTTTCCTAATTTCCGATAGCAAATTAAATCATTTTTTTATTCTTTGAATACTTTATTCTTTTAAATGATGTAGTAAAAATTAATTTGAACAAGTGATTCAAAATAAAAGAAATATGGGCTTGATAGTTGGTCATACGAACCTAGGCTCTATATAAAATAGAACAATTTGTCTGTAAAATAGAAGATTTTGCACATTTTGAGCTACACTTACATTGGACAATAGGCCTCAACCATTAGAACCCCATCCAACACAAACTCAACAACTAGTTCAAACATAAAGACCCTGCATATAGTTTTTTCACCAACTTAACAACTAATTGAAATCAAATAAAAGACTTTGCATACTGTTTTTCAACCAATAATAGACTCTGCATATAAAGTAAATAAGGATTCAAATGGCTATTGTATCTCCAAAGAACAAAACTTGACCTCTTTTTCATATTCATCAAAGTTTTTGATCATGGAGTTTCTTCTTCTTCTTCTTGCTGCTGCTGCCAGTACAACAAATTCAATTGCCTACTAAACTGATAAATCTCACATGTCATTCGAAAATGTAAGGATTTACAATTGACACAAAAAAGTTTCCAACACTCAGGACATGCCCTAATTGGATATCCTTGTTGATCATCGATCAGTTTACCCATACAATCCATATAAGGGCAATCAATAACTAGTGGCAAAGCCAAAACTTTTATTAGTCGACTGGCATCTCTTACTCGAATAAGAAAATCAACCGGCATTATTAAATCGACATCCAAAATTTCCTTGCAATCAGAAGCAGGACACCTTATAGCAACCTCATGGATAACCTCGTTGATTTTTTTACCTATATAATTATGAATGCATTCTTCACAGTAACGATGATTGCAATTGGTGCCCCACATCATTGTGTTTGACAGCGGAAATGCATCTTCACAGATTTCACAGAATGTACATGAAGATTCCCCCTTTTGAGTAATACTATTCTTTAGGTTAAGTGAATCTGGAATAACAAAATACTCAATTTTCATAGGTTTTTTATCAACACCATGATTAGAGCTTGATTCCAAGTTCTTACCAGAATGAAACTGAGCTGAGTAAAAGAGAATATTTTGCAACTCGATATCATCATCTCCGCTCTTGTAGCCATTGTTATTTTCAGTGATAGCGATGACATCAGAATTCAGTGAGGTAGGATCAACTTCGACTTCGTTGGAGTTTAAGATTTGCAAATATGTTGATTCCATTTCAACTTGATTGGAATTTATGATTTGCAAATTTGTTGTTTCCATTTCAACTTGATTGAAATTCACGATTTGCAAATTTGTTGATTCCATTTCGACATCGTTGGCTCCGGCAGATCTCTGAATTTTGTGTCTTCTATGGAGTCTTCGGAAATTCTTCGACCATCTTGATGATGAACAACCTTTGTTCTCGATCTTTGTCTTCGGCTGCAAGAATTTGGATATGATAGGGCGCTTCATTCTGCCGTCAGTGGAACCCTAAATTTTGTTCCCATTATATGCATATATATATATACTATTTTTCAGGTTCTTGTATTTATTTTACTTTTTAGGGTTTAGAATTAATTTGGATTATATCAAATTCACAATATATTAATACAATATGCGTGATTTGGTATGACGTGTTAGCCAAGTGAAACGGTCAATAAGATCATGCCACGTGTTAAAAGTGATACAACATGTCAAGTCAAATCAAACACTTATGAAAACACGCCTCGTGTACAACTGACGTGTTTCAACCATTAAACAACATAAACTAAAATTTGATTGGTAAAAAAAATCATCCTACTCACAATTCTTTCCGCTTAACAAGACTAACATGTTCAAAATAATCAAATATCATCATGTCAACTTCAGCCTAATCGATCAGAAATTTTTTTTCCCTCAACACAATTGTTCTGTCCCAGCACAAGTGACATGTTCATTTAATCAAATATCATTATAGCAACCAAAATATGGTAAAAAAAAAAAGTTGTCCTGACCATATAGGTTTCACCCTAGCAGAAGTTGCATGTTCTAGCTAATCAAATATTGTCATGAGAGTTTTAATTTGATTGGTCAAGAAGAGTTTGTCATCTCTTCCATCTTGACACAAGGACATGCTTGAGCCAATCAAAATCATCAGGTCAACTTCAATATGATTGAAAAGAGTTTGTGCTTGTCACAATTCTTCTAACCTACAACTATAATAAGGATTTTCCTAATTTAACAGGCTAGAGGATCTCGACGATTAAATGCTATAAGTTCTCTATGAAGATCAAGGATGAGGGCAAACTAAATACCTTGGTATTCAAAACAAATCTAATGAAGGTCAAATATAATATCAAGGTTTTAAAAGAACAAATTCACATATTTTTGTCCATCAAAGTGTTTTTTGTGAATATAGTTCAAATTCAACACAAATTGGAAACTAAACACAAAAATCCTTAAATTTATATATTCCAAGAAATATATAAGAGGACTACTAGAGTCTTTAACACCAATTATTCTTAAATATAATATCATGATTATTATAATATTTATCATTCTTACTATTTACTTGACGTGAACTTTATTTTCTACCGCTCATTCTTTTTTTGTCAAGTATAAAAACTATTTTACTCTCGTATTTTTATTTTAAGTAACTTCGTTGACTTGAGAAAGGAACATTCCCAACTGAAAAGGGAAAGGTAAAACAGAATTACAACTACCATATGCCTTGTTAGAAAATTTGATGGAATATATATATATAAAGGAAAACAATGAAATGAACAAAAAATGACTTCTGCTGCAGATTTATAAGAAAAGGAAACTTAGTAATGATCACCCAAGAAAGCATATTAATTTAAGAAAAAAAATACAAACTTCTAAGAAGCAAATGAACTTTAAAAGGAATAATAAGATTCTAAACTAATTTCAATATGTGAAGCTTTGAAATCGATCATCAAAAGCACAACAATATGAATGCATGAAAGAAAACTTGAGCAATCATAATGGAGTTTTAGTTAAGTTGAAGGACAAATATGTTAAAAATTCTGATCCATTCCACTGTAATAGCAAAAATCATGTCCACACCTACCACAAATTCAATTTTTTTTTGTATATGCATGTATATGTATATATATATTAGTTCAATGTGTTCACATCGTTTCTTGTCTTATTCCCCGAAAGGTCTTTGCAAAACTCTATTGGAGTGTCAATTCATTGTTACTATATATCTTCATTGTTACACAAAAAGAGCAATGATATCATTCAAAATTTAAGTACATTTAATAACGAGTAAAAGTTGGATTGTGAAGACGTATCAAAGACACTTTATTAAAATTTAATAGCGAGTAAAAGTTGAATAGTGAACACGTATCATAAAGTACATAACGTAAATATACTTAGATTGAGAAGAAAAACTTTTTACATTTGTTTGATGATATTCTCTAAGGAGCCAAACTTACAACATAAGTGTGTACATTTCATTAACATGATTAAAAATATATATATAATGCTTACTGAGGTCTGTTTTAAATATATATATATGTTTTTCTTCTTTAGCAATTTTTTAGTTTCAGCTTTGCACCTGAGATATTCAAGACCATAAAGATTAAACGATATTTTGATATATTTGATCATCAGATTTAAAAGTTTTATTTACTATCTTAAATTTTGTATTAAATTAAAATAGGTCACTCAATTTAAAACGGAGAATGTGGTATCAAAGTAACAGTCTGTTTGAATTGGCTTTAAAAAGTAGATTTTAAGTCAAAATAAAAAATCAAAATGAAATGTCTTTTAAGTCAAAAAATAAAAAGTAGATACTTTTGATTTTTGACATTGTCATTTTAAACTTATTTCAAGTCATTTTTTACATTGACAAACACTTCCTAATTTATTTTAAGTCATTTTTGAGTTATTTTAAGTTAATTTTTATATTTGTCAAACACGAAGTCAAAAACTGAGTTAAAAATAAGTTTGGCCAACTTTTAAATCAATCTAAACACCCTCTAAGTTTTTGGAAAGAAAAGAAAGTAACTTATAGCTTGTGTCATAAAAAAAGAAACACGTCAATAAATTTCAAAGATTCTAAAGAAGAAGAACCAAGGAAATTGTAAGAAATAATTTCTCTTTATATGAGATCATGTTTATTCCAAATTTGTCACCTTAATAGTATCAAGGAATTTACACCTGTAACGTTGAGCTTGTAAGTTATCTGCAGGGGCAGACCTATGTGTAAGCGAGGTGCCACGACACCCAATGAACTCGGTTGAAATTTCGTATGTATATGTGTATATATATAATATGTACAACATATATTAAATTTGCCACCCCAATAACAAGTACATACATGGTGCCCGTGGTGAGAGGGCAAGTTTTTGGCTTCATTTTTGCGAATTCGATCCTAGAATTGCACAGTTTTATGTAAAACTGCATTTTTCCGTTCCTTTTGCCAAAAAGGCTTGAGCAAAGATTCGAACCCACAAAGCAGTATTATTAGGCCATCTGATATCAACTGGTATCAAGTTGTAAAAGTAATAAAATTGAACTTTGCTAACATTTTTTTGTTGTGATTTTTTCCTTCCTTTTCTATTTTAAGAATAAAATATTACGTACTTCGTTTGTTTAAAATTTATGTGACACTTTCTTTTTAGTCTATTCCCAAAAATGTTATCTTTTTATTATTAAAAATAAATTAGCTTTAAATTATTGTTTTTACCTTAATGAAATAATTTATAGTCACACAAATATTTAAAATTTATTTTAGACAATAAATTTCGAAGGTTAGGACGGGGGAGTAGTATTTTCCTTCTTTCAACTAATTCTTTCTAGCTCCTCTCTTTCGTCCAAATTTCATAAACTCGATAATGAGTTTCTCTTACTCTTTGTTTTATTATTTAAATTATTTGGATGCATATGGAAAAATAATTTGGATTATCATAATTTAAATCTTTAGGTTTTAATTTATAAATAAAATACATGTTATAATAAATGGTAACATAGAAATCATACTGAAATCACATTTGATTTTTGTTTGGCCTTTTTTGATTGTCAATTGATGTGAGCCAATACTTTGTCTCTGTTATTGAAATTATGTATGTGAAATTCTTTGACCTCTTTATATTTAGTTTGTTACCTAGAACGTGAAGTATTTATAAATATAAATAATTATATCATCAGTAAGTCTTTTTAGAATAAGAAAACTTGTCGAGTGCAATTATAAATGTGATATATTTATTTATTTTGTATTATACTAACATTATTGGGAAAAAATATTCTTTGTACAAGTTATCATAGTTTTCTTTTTGTTGGATTCATTTATGGTCATAAACTGAAAGGATGAATAACTGAACAAATCATGGATATACCTCTGGTTATCTGCCATTTTTTATAAAATTAAATAATCTCATTGATTCTTTAGTTCTTATATAATTGACCATACGGCGTACACAATACCAATTGTCATTAAGTGCATAATTATTTATTGCATTGTCTGATCTCTTTTTTAATGCATTTAATTTTATAATAACTTTTATAATATATGATTCGTGCTGGCATGGGTCAGTACCTCTAATTTCTATATATTAGAAAGGACAATTTCAAGTCCTTAAATTAAAGTTTGAAGGTATTAAAGTCTTTTAAAAAAAATTGCAAGATAAGTTTGCTTAAAAATATTGTAACTTTTGCATTGTTATGTGAACCTAAGTAAGAGATCTTAAAAAGATCCTCCTTTTTCTATTTAATTACAAACTATGCCATGCCCATGGTGAATATGATGGGTCCCACTTTCTATTTGCCATAAATATTATTAAAGTCTTACAAAAGATTTTGCAAGATAAACTTGTTTCAAAAAGTTGTATGTCTTGCTTTGTATTTTGTACCTCGGCAAGAGCTTTAAGAAAAGTCCAACTTTTTTATTTAATTACAAATTTTGTCATGTCATTGAAGAATATGATGAACCTCACTTTTCTATTTGCCATAAGTATCATAAGACATGGGCTTTGGTCCACTTCCGTTTTTTTCCTCTTCCATTTGGCATAAATTTCATAGATATTTTTTCTCCGTTTCTATTTATCTATCAAATATATTTAACAAATCAAGAAAAAAAAATTCTCTTATTATACCTTCAATTTATTGACATTAAATTAATATTTTTTTAAAAAGTAGTGAGTAAATATGTTTAAAATTTTATCAATTAATAAGAGTAAAATGATAAACTCATTATATCAATCATTATTTTCTTAAAAGGTGTGTCAAGTCAAAATTTAACAAGTTAAAAGGGTCGGAGGGAATACATACTTCATCTGTCTTTTATTTATCTGTTAACACCTAATTTTGACCCTCCACGGTAAGAATTAATTTGCGAGCTTCCTTAATTCCAAATAATTTGAATAACTAATTTTACAAAAGTTCAAAATATGTTTCAAGATATTTTAAGAATTTTATTCACCTTTTATAATATTTTAAATAATAAATATGTTTTATATTGCTACGTA